ACTGTGTGTGTTGTGGATCAATGATTCTTTGGAAAGTGGAGGCACTAGGCCAGTGTGTTGACCTGTGCAAGTCTGCAGGAAATGCGCAAGCTGTTCAACAAGAGCAAGAGGATCAAAATTGCAGAATACTTGTGCCAGGTGATTTTGGACACTCAGCCAACAGACCAATTCCAAACCTGTGTCTGAGTAGATGTGTGATGAGTTGCGCATTGCATTGCATGCAAACAAACCTTCAATCATGAACCCTGGAGTCCTGGAGGAAGAGTCTGACTGTGAGTTTGAGGGCCTGCCACAAGAGGAGAGCCAGGACTCATGGGAGGCATGCTTGTACTGTTCAATTCTTATGTGTCATTCAGTATGTGACTGTGTGGTGTGGTCAATGCACATGTGCATAACTGTGCAGATTGACCCAGCTGACCCAGCTGACCCAGATGATGCTGTGGAGCCACATGGGTGTAACCAAGGGAAATGTGTAAGGAAAGTGAAAAGGTGGTGTGTGCAAAGAAGCCTGGCATTGTATTTGGCTTGGGCTGTGGTGTGATGCCAGGACCAGGATGTCGATGTGGGAAATCCTGGTGATGCTGATCCAGCCTCAGCCCTATCAGGCCTTGTTAGTGCTTCTCAGAGAATCAGTTGGGCCAGGGGTGAGGGATGCGGATGCAGGAGACATGGCAAGGAGCAGTTGGAGGGCCTCTGACTCTGACTAATCCTAGGCTGGTGGGCTTGATATTATGATGCACAACTGGCAAGGCTGTTTTGTTTTTTACATCCACTCCACTTGTATCAGGAGGAGACTGTGACTTGGTCAGCTGGCTCTAAGACCAGTCACATGGGAAGGAGTAGTCAAACAGCTTCTAGGGGCTCAAGTGGTGAGTGAAAGAGAGATGTGATAGAAGCATGCAGCTGCTGTGTTTGAGCGAAGCTGATGTGGCATGCAATATAATGTGGTATATAAAGCATCTAGATATATAATATTATAACAACATTTGGTAGTGGAGCTTGTAGTTGGTAGTGGAGCTGGGATTGGTTAGCAATGGACTTGGAGCAACTAGTGGCAGATGAACCTGGTGAAGGTGAAGGTGAGGGGGAAGGAACCTCCCCGCCAAAAAAGAAACAGAAAAGTGAATCATTTGACATGCCCTGGAGAACAGCTACAATTATGGAGCTTGGCCAAAGAGCCTATATCAGAGACAGTGATGAAACAGCTGAATGGCTGTGGGTGAGGCTTCATGAGGCTTTGGGTATGAAGACAGATAGCTACAAGTTCCTGAAGAACAGCCTGGCAAGCCTAAAGCAATTCCTGGAAAAAGATCTTCAGGTTGACTTTGGAGAGGTGAGGTACAACCCTGGTAAAACCCTCCAGGACAACAGGCAGTGGAAGGACCACACCCTTGAGTCCAGGGCACTGCTTGGCTTTTGCTTTTGGGTCTTGAGAAACAAACCATTGAAAGAAGATGTGAAAAAGAAGGCCTGCAACCTACTCCAGAGACTTGCAGAGCTAGCTGTAGAAAAGGGGATGCAGCTTGACAGCAATTTGGAGGGCATGGTGGTTGGGATGGATGGGATTGTCCACTATCAATCCCTGGAGATGAAAAGGCCACATTTTCTCAAGAATCTGGGCAAGTTGCTTGACCATTGCCCTGGTGCCAAGAGCATGTGGCAGACATTGAGGGGGGTCATGTGGCATGACCATACTATCTCAACTGCTGTGGACTTTGTCTCAATTTCAGACTTGGTGTGGTTCTTGGGTTACTTGGCAGCTCACACCACTACAGTGCACAGGGGCAAGCAAGACTTGTGGCTTTGCTGTGGCAAAGTCCTTTTGCCCACATTGGTCAACCAATTTGGTGCCTGGCTGGATGCCATTGCCATTGACCTGGCAAATGAAGAGCTGCATGCACTACCAGTTCTGAAGAGTAAATTTGGGAATGTGTGCAAGACCATGGACCCAGTCAACAGAATGCTGCTTCTTAGAAAGTTGCAAGGTGAGAAGGTCCATAGAAGAAGAATTGGGAAAACACATGACTTGCAACCACTGGAGTCCACATGGTCTAGACATGAGCATTTCCTGGATTGTGTGCTCCATGCTAGAGCCTTGCTGAAAGACTTTGAGTGTGAGCCCCTGCAACTTAGTATTTCATATGACCCTGGGAATTATGATGGCAAACAAATCAGTGCAGGAGTTGCATACAACCCCAGAAGCAACAGGGCTGCATACCTGCTGAGCCAAACAATGGGGAAACTCATGATGTCAGATTTGGATGAGCAGTTGATCCAAAAGGCCCATCAAAGGAAACTGACACGCATTCCTGGGTTCAATGAGTTGAGGAGTTTAGATGCCATGCTGGTTCACTCACTGGGCATTGGGGTGAAAGACTTTGCTGTGCCTGGAGGCCTGTTTGTCAAGCCCTTGGCACCTACACAGGTGAGAGTCAGAGGTAAGGATGGCAGGGCCTACATTGTGGACACCAACACTTCTGCAGCATTCCCAGAAGTATCACCAGACATCAACTTGTCAGAGTTGAAGATCTTGGTGACTTGCTCTGACCAGGGTCCACTCAATGTAGCATCTTTAAACTTCTTGATGCTGTCATCACATGCACACATGTGCCTGTGTTTGTGGGACCCCTACCATCGTGGTTGGAATGACATCAAGGGTGCAGCCAAGAAAGCTTCTTCAGGTGCATACAGGTGCATCCTGGAATTGACAACCCTCTTCAACACAAACTATGGACCCTTCACCTCATCTCAATGGTTTCATAGGAAGAGGAGTGCACTAGAAGAGTTTTTGTCATCCACCACTGTCAACTCCCAGAAGTGGCAAGACTATGAGGCTTGGATTTGCTTAGAAAGAAGGATTGATCAACCAAGTTGTGAAGAAGACAGGGTGGCCCTGTTCAACTCTATGTCTGCTTTGGAAAACTTTGTTACCAAAGGCCCTCTTGTGAAACTCATGCGATGGTTTTCTTGGTTTGAATGCTGTGCACACTGGCAGAATGACTTCTTTGCTACCAAGATGGTGCTGGAGAGTGAAGCTGGCCTTGGTGAGATGAAGCCAGAGGTGGTTGAGAGTGACCATGACATAGAGCAGGGCAATGAAAAAACAGAAAAGGAGAAGTTGTCTGCACTGAAGAAAAGAGTTGGCACCTACAACCTGGCCCCCAGGTTGATTACACCAAAGAATATGGCCATCAAAGAGATCTTGATGAGTGTGTGCAGGCATACTTGGAAAAGTTTTGCACACAGGGCAAGCAATATCAGGTCACCTGAACAGGTCATGCAGATGAACATTCAGAACACTGGCCAGGGTGCATGGAAGGATGAGTTGGTGGGAATGCTTCACTGCTCATTGTCCAGGGAGGACACCATCCAACACCTTCTACCTGAATGGT